TCTCTTGAATTGCATTATCCAATGATCCAGTTTTTAATAATTAACAATTATTCCACGAGCACGCGTTGGATGTGAGATGATAGATAGCCAGCGAGGCGCGTAGCGCCGAGTTGGCTATAATCATCTCATATCCAACAAGCGCGAGTGGAATAATTGTTTTATTAAAAACGTCGAATTAAATTATTAAATTTTATTACATTTTTAGCTCCTTTTTAATTTTAAGCTGACACGTACGCTTACCATATTTGTAGATTATGGTATATTGGCTGATACACCATAATGGCTAAGCCAATAAAAAGTCTTGAATTGCATTGTTCAATGATCTAGTTTTTAATAATAAGATACATATATTCTCCAATTCTTTAAGTTTGATTCAGCAATAATACTGCAAGGAGAAAATAGCTGCCAGTCACTCTGAGGGTTCCAAGGGTAGGATAGCCGCTTGCTTCCATGTAACAGTTCTTTTACATGACGCATATGAGGTTAACTTGTTTTTTCTTTACTCCAGGTTCAAAACATCATGCGCACCCTCAGTAACAGTGTAGCAGGGCTTCTCTCGTATCTTGGAGTGCGACTCATCGCTGAAAACAGTAACACTGTTAATGTAGAGCTGGAGGCTCCAGCTATAATCAAGTATACATACACCTAACCTTTCAGCACCCAATATCTCAGCTGTAATTCACCCTGGAAGCTGCTATAGATTTTCCTTTAAGGGTTCCAGGTGATATTAACATATTCCAACCGGCACGTTATATGTGATCAGTTCTTGAGTCACGTGTTAAAAGGAAACAGTGTACGCATGCCCCCGAGATGAACAGGGTCGTTAAAGTCAAGTCGTAAAATTCTGTTTAGTTCAGATTTACCCGAGCTCAGCTTGGCTCTCTTTAGCTACAGTGAAATCCCAGATGATTTCAAGTTTGAAGAAAAGAGAGATGTCCTCGATGAAACGTTGCAATTGCAGTTAAAAGCGTAATAAACTGTAGCTGTGAATTATTTGAGAAGAATATAATTACATGGTTTGGTTCCAAATTAAAGAATAAAAACAATTTGTATCTTAAGTTTCTATAAGCTAACGTAGAAAAGAGTTTCAGCAAAGTACGTTAGATCAGAGCATCAAATAGCCAGTGGTTTCCGCTAAAACTCAATCCCCCTCCCCGCAAACTCCTCCCAAACACGAGATAGAACTGCTTTGATTTCTCGTGATCCCAAACTGTCTTCTGTGTCCATATAATTCATCCATAACACCTTCCATCGCAGTAAACATGAGTTTAATGGTACGATTGACGTTTACTGTTCTACAGCACAATAACTAAAACCTCCGAGGCATTTAAGTTACGAAAACTCAGTCCTCACTTAAAGTTAACGTTTCACTCAAAAACTTACTTTATCTCTATTGATACAATAATTCAAGCCTTAAAATTTAACATGGTGTTGATGCTTTAATGTGACAGCGTGATGCTGTTAGTGAGCTGGTGCTGGGGTTATCTCGGCAATAATGTCAGGGTCGCTCTGCCATCTAGTGCAGTAAATAAATTCCGAAGCACTTTCCCAGCTGATTTTGGAACTTCTTACACAGGATTAAAATCGCCAAACCTTTGACAGAAACAAAGGTACATGTAAATGCAGATCATGATTATTTATTTCCTACAGCACCAGCGGTTGTGCCTGTTCGATAGGAAATATTTATATAGTGCTTTCCTTCATCTCCGAAGTATTATTATAGATAAACAAGTTGTAACGTAAATACTTGCGAGTGTGGCCTGTATATATATAGTTATCGAACCAATGGTTTCCGCTAAAACTCAATCCCCCTCCCCGCAAACTCCTCCCAAACACGAGATAGAACTGCTTTGATTTCTCGTGATCCCAAACTGTCTTCTGTGTCCATATAATTCATCCATAACACCTTCCATCGCAGTAAACATGAGTTTAATGGTACGATTGACGTTTACTGTTCTACAGCACAATAACTAAAACCTCCGAGGCATTTAAGTTACGAAAACTCAGTCCTCACTTAAAGTTAACGTTTCACTCAAAAACTTACTTTATCTCTATTGATACAATAATTCAAGCCTTAAAATTTAACATGGTGTTGATGCTTTAATGTGACAGCGTGATGCTGTTAGTGAGCTGGTGCTGGGGTTATCTCGGCAATAATGTCAGGGTCGCTCTGCCATCTAGTGCAGTAAATAAATTCCGAAGCACTTTCCCAGCTGATTTTGGAACTTCTTACACAGGATTAAAATCGCCAAACCTTTGACAGAAACAAAGGTACATGTAAATGCAGATCATGATTATTTATTTCCTACAGCACCAGCGGTTGTGCCTGTTCGATAGGAAATATTTATATAGTGCTTTCCTTCATCTCCGAAGTATTATTATTGATAAACAAGTTGTAACGTAAATACTTGCGAGTGTGGCCTGTATATATATAGTTATCGAACCTTTTTGTGTTTGCTTCGATTGGAAATATAGAGAGACAGTTTCGCAAGCTGAACTCTGGATCTTTTAATTTCTATTCAAAGTAAAAAAAATGTTTTTCTAATGATCTTTGATTACAAATTCACCGCTGTGTAAGCCGTGACACAAATTCTCCAACTGCTACTTCTTTGCAGGGTTTCTCAAAGAAAGCAGCAAGCGGAGCTGGCAAAGATTCTCT